ATGCATTTTCGAATAGTGTAAAATAATCATTTTGGACAAGTAGTAGTTAAATATAAACACACACTATGATTAAAATGCACTCTCTTAAAATTTAAAGAGGGATCCACAAAACAGTGTTTTTAATGGAAACCTTTTAAGCTTTAGAGTAACTGACAAAACATGTACCACTCTGCAAAGACTAACAAAACGTGAAAACCATGAAAGGCGTTAGAGGCTCAACTTTGAAAGTACGGGAGATTAATCTCAGCATCAGCTGTCACTGAATGTTTCCTTTCAGCAATGGCCTCTTGAGCTGTTTGAAATACAAATGACCACACTGCAGCCAACCACACATGGTTGGTTTACGTTACCACTCAACACGTAGGTCACACATGCCCTCGAGCTACCCACCCTCTCACCTCAATACACACAGCAGGACCACATTACCACCAACATTTGCTCATTACCACATACACACACATTTGTATGCATAATATATACAACTTACAGATGTCTCCCTTGTATGTTGATTCACAAGAAATCCAGCTGCCGTGTGTGTGGCTTCTACGGTGACGGATGTGAGGTATTAGCACTGTGCTCTTTCAGGATGTTTAGGATAAGGGCTGCTCAAAGTAGCATGAATGAAAATTCACAGTGATCGTTATCTTTCCTTAATATGGTGAGCTGTCCATGCTGAACGTGGCTTCCACAGGTAATTTGCAATTCATTCGCACGAAGTTGATGTACCGTGAACCTTCCTCTTAATCCCCCCCCTCCATCGCCCTTATCAGGTAGCAGTAAACCTGATGAGGCACATGGAATTACTTTTTCATGCCAGGTCCTGAACATAGCTGGATCAACAGGATCAGGTGTTGTTTATTTGGGGGGGGGGGCGGTTATTTGCAGGAGATGGAAGTGGGAGGCTACATAGCTAATCAGACTAACAGATGAGCCAATATCCTGTTCTCACATATGTTGGCCCAGGCCACACTTGTTGCGCTATGTGTTTGTGTGCGTGTGGGGGGAACAATGGCCCTGCTGTTGCCCCATCCGCCACTGCTGCTGTAGATGCCTTACACCTGTGCTTGGCAGCCCTCCCAGCACCCAACCCTCCCCCTCTTCCAACACACACATAACCCCAACCTCCCCACCATCACCCCCCAGCCCTAAACCACACACCCCAATCCACTTTAGTTCTCAGTTTACACCCTGCATTAGCTTTTAGTGCTGCACTACAAAGAACAATGCATATTCAACAGGCTTACCAGGAGGAATAATGCACATGTGGCCCCTCAGACACGTCTTATGTTTTCATATCAAAATGGAAAAAGCGGTGATATAAAAGGTTGCCTCATTCCCCACCAAACCCCACTCATCCCATCATTGCCTGAACCCGTAACTGAGTAGCAGTGCTAACCACCCAATCCTGCTCTTAACTGAGGACGAGGTGTGAGAAATGAGAGGATGAAGGGAATGCGAGGACGGCTGTGGATGCGAGAGTGGGCGGGTGAGTGGTTGGGTTTTAGGGATTCAAAAGCTCACAGTGAGCCGTGCATGGCGTTCTGCGGTTGGAGTGGGCCTTTGTGAAACTGGAGCCCCCAGAAGGCACAGGGGTGGGAGATGAAGGGAGGGTGCAGGGGTCTGGGATACAGCCCCCTGGCCAGCAGAAGCCCACCTCTTTTCCCGCAGTGTCAGCGTCACAGGTGTGTGAACGACAATGCATGTGTGTGTGTTTGAGAGAGAGACCCATGTCCAATCAATGACACACTGTATTGTAATCATCTATTGTGAGGACACGGCTGGTGCTCAAAGGTAAACACCGCTGGGAATAAACTCTTAGGGACCAGGTACAGCCCTCAGGCTAGAACGCTGTGTTCATTGAAATATACAGGATGGCTGTGGTGGTGGTGCTGGGAGGGGGGCATCTCCTTATCGTTTCCATAGCCGTTGCTCAACATTTTGCCATAGTAACACTGAGCAATAAACAATGAAAGTAAGTCCGATAAAGCTTGACAGTAAATTCCTCTCTGCAGCAGTTGCTAGGTAAAGGACCTTTCTTAATTCCCCATATTCATACTGGACTCCCCCACTCCCACTCCCACATACCCTCCTGGGACTGAAAAACCAGATTAAACTTTGTTTTGTCCATAACTTGACCACTGTCTATCTCAAGGGTTGGCAGGGTGCAACATTTTTGGGATATTTTCCCATAAATTATGACGGGCTATCAGTAGGCCAGCTGTACTCTTGAATTCTGGTATTCAGAGTTGCTATTATGCTTATATGAATACATCTCTCTCCGCCTGTCACAATGATTCTACCTCTGTATGTGGGGATGCTCAGAACAAAAGGACGTCAAGTAAAGCGGCTCCCGCTCCTTTTCCCTCCTCGGGCCCATTCAATGTGGCAAACAATTCTAAATCAATATTTCTATGCAAATTATTCTGTTGCCCTGCAGGCTGCTTTACAGCCAGGTAGGCTAAACTGTAACTAGCGCTGTGGTGCCTTCAAGTGCCTCCTGTAAACTTTACTCATGTTACATTCAAGGAGAGTGGCTAAAGAGCTGGGTACTTAAAAGTTACATAAAATGACAGTATAGTGCAGATAAGATCTTCATTTAATAGCTATTTTCATTATCATATGATTTAGGGTGCCTGCTGTGCAACAGACGGCACATTTGTCAGGCTTATGTCTTATTTTTCTTCCTTAAAATGTTGGCACACTACTCGTCTCCCAGCATTGCTGACACATTGGCAAAAAACAAACATCAAAACATGCGTAATGATCGTGAATGGTGTACAATGGCTTTTCTCAGCGATTTTCACCATGCTTTTAATACATTAATTTCAAAAAAGTGTGTTAAATTTTCTATTTAAAGCGATGAGAGATTGTTGGGAAATCAACATGATTAGACCAAAAATCACTCCTCTTTGGGGCCGTTGCAAATTGTCATACTTTGACATAGCAAAATGATGAAAACTTTCAATGGTTCATAAGATTTTTATGTACTACTTGGTGGCAGGAGCACGCACCGGGTCAAAATTTCTTGTGAATTTTTTGGTCTGTCAGTTATTTTTGATTAAATAGTGAATATTTAAATTGATAAAATGTCACAAAATGGTGATTAAAAACATTATTTCACATTTTCCCAAATCAGTTTTGCTTGATAAGTTGGTTAAACAATTAATTGATTATGAAAATGAATGGTGATAAATTTTCTATTGATTGAATAATTCATAAGTGGTTTCAGCTTTGGGACAAATTATATTTACAGATTTTCTGTAGGATCCACACTTTGCCTCTTACTTATCAAGTTCATCTATTACCATATTCTGTCCCCTTAAAATTGTAGTTAGTTACTTTTTAAAAAAAGTAACTTTTTGTCACATTTGCTGAAACGTTCACTATAATCTGACAGAAGTACATGAGACAGATAATTTCTGAAAAAAAAAAATCAGATTCCTCTGCCTCCTCATAGTGCTTCTAATGGCATTTGCAAAAATCCAGAAAGAATTGCAAGAAACAGAGCTGAGGAGTCTCAAAAGCAGCTGTCAATCATGTCAATCACTTCGTAGACTGCGGTCAAACTGTCAAATTAGGCGGCATCCAATCAAATATGAATCCAAATTCTGTTACTGCATTGCCCATTTCTTGCCTCAGATATGTTCATAAATTAACCATAAAATGAAAAGTTTGTGATGCAGCCGACATTTTGAAAACAGTCTAAAAACTTAGCACGGCCCACTAGCCAGAGTAAAAGACTCCCATTTTACAGCCGAACAGTAGCCTAAACTACGATATGTTACTGAAACATTTGCAATGCAGCAACAGAATCTTGATTCATATTGGATCAGTGCTGCCTTGACAGTTTGACCGTTGTTCAAGAGCAGTGATTGACGTGATTGACAGCTGAGAATCCTTGGCTCTGATTGGTTGTTTTATTTAGCCATGGTAGATTCTAGCAAAATCATTTTTTTTCTCAGACTATCTGTCTGTTGTACTGCTGTCAGGATGTAGTGACAGTTTCAGCAAATATGACGAAAAGTAATTTCTTATAAAAGTTATCAAATGCTATTTTAATGCATTTCAATGTCTTAGGCCTCCATGGATGTGCTGTACCATAGGTACCAATAAGAGACGCACTTTTTACATAGCGTGACCCACATGGTACTTTATTGTTTCTATCAATACAATAAGAAACAAAGGACATGAAAAATGAGCAGAATTTTAGATTTAAAGCAGCGATCACTGTAAGTAGCTGATGATTCGCAGCAGTGGTTCCCAACTAGTCCAGCTGCGGGGTCCAGTTTTCTCCTGAGTCATTAGTTTGAGGTCCCACAGTTTAATACGGTCAGCACCATACTTGCCTGTGGCCATGCCATTGAGCTAGTTGCTGTCTCTGTCCAGCAGCTGTCTGTTAGTCACTCAAGCAGAAAAGAGCACTTCAAAATAAAAGCTTTGTGCTGGAAATTCACTGCACATAAAAATAATGTGTGTTTTTTAGAAACTTGACACGATTGTGAGTCACTTGCAGTCCATTTAGAATGGGCCTGCAATCCACTTTTGGACTGCGACCCATCAGTTGGGAACCACTGATTTACAGGACACTTAGTAACCATATTGTTTTAATTATGTTATCTTGACCCTGCAGTTGTTATTTCACTTTGAGGATTGCAACATGTTGAACAGTTTGTTGCTGACTCATATTAGACACGAAGATACTTGCTGTATTAGAAAATTGCTCACAAAACATGCATCAGGCTGAAGTTTGAACTTTTCCCAATGTGCGACAAATCCCGAAAGTTCCGACAGTCCCTGAAAGTTGCAAAAGTTTCTCATGCGCCGCTGGCCCCCCTCCACCCCCTCCCACACCACGCACACCCATACCCAACACACACACACAGACACACAGACACACACACACACACACACATTCCAGCAGGCGGGCGGAGTCTGTGACGTGCTGGCCCGTTTGTGAATGAGCTGCAGAGAGTAGCGCTCACCTCTCAGTCCCAGCCAAGCCCAGGAGCGGAGAGAGAAAGAGAGAGGAAGGAAAAGTTTGCCAAATGGATTTCTCTGCCGGAGTCAGACCTTTATTATTTTCATATGTACTCATTAACGGCATATTAATTACTTTACAGACTAAAGAAGGTGAGTGACTTTTTGTTTTAAAACAATTTGCCAAAAGTCAATTAGGCTAAACCTTTTAAAAGTTTATGAAAGTGTGGCGCGCGTGCCATGCGGGGATCCTCCTTAAAGAAACTTTAAAACCAGGAAACACACTTTCTTAATCCCGTGACAGTCTTATGGTCTCTCAAAGCTGTATTTTATGGAAAGACTTAAATGTTATAAACATGTTTATCGTTGAAGTTGCATATTAAATTAGTAATAATCAGTTGAGGGTGAAGCCTGCATGTGTGCAGCTCTCAATCTTTGTAACACAGCAGGTGAATTCTGGAGAGTGTGCAATTTATTTTAGAAAAACTTTGGATCATATTGTAATAATTTTCTTTTTGTATTAGCCTTTACATTGTGTGTGCAGTGCTCACCAATTAGACTGACATTTATATACTTTAAGTATATAAAGTTGATTTCTAGTTATTGCCAAGTACAACCTTTATTGTGTAACTACAGAAGGGTTAGGTGTGTTAACATAGATTGATAGTTACATCCCTTAAACTCTGTGATTATTGTGCAGGAAAGTTAAAATCACTGTCATCTGCAAATGTTTCAATATTGTAAATATCTCTTTTTTATTTTTTTAAAGAAATATAAGTCAGATTGTGATGAGTTCAAAGGCTTATTCTCATGTACTGACAGTTTCCTTGTGTCTCTCACAGAGGTGCTTTTGGACATGAGGGCAACAGGAGGTGAACTGGGCTGGCTGACATGGCCCTTAGATCAGGGAGACAAGCCTGGGGTGAGTATCGCTCCAGCTTCTCCTCCAGCTCCTCCAGCTCCCACGTTTCCGCTTGGAATTTGCCTTAGGATAAATCTGCATGGAGAAAATGCACATGAAGGGCCCAGTCAAACTGAGAGCCTCCGGTGCAAAAATATTTGACCATTTGACTTGTGTGGTTAGCTATTTGGTGGGCCTTGTGTGTATACATGTCAGGCTGCTATAAAATCTGGCAGTTTGAGCCTAATGGCTGCTCCAGTATGGATATGAGAAGGAGTTGTAGGATCCTATCAAGAGCTGCCTGCAGAGCATGTCTGGGCTGCACCAAAGCTTAGGCAGACAGAATAGCTGCTAGCTCTGAACTGGGAATACTTGTGGCTTCTTGCGGTTTCAAGGCTTCAGCTCCAGAATTGTATGTTAGAGAGCAATTAACTTTTAAAGTTTGCAGCATGTGGTACCTCTTTTTAGAGGGGGAGGGGTTTTAAATGGAGCCAGTCAGTCAGCGCTACCTTTCCCTGAAACCAGGGTAAAATGCCTACGTTTAGATATGCATCGAGATAATCGCTGTATTACTGTGCCCAAATGCTGTGGTTATCTCTGTGCCAGTGTACAAGAGGCATGTGTGCCTTCTTCTATATTGCGGTTTCAAAGTAATTGACCAGTCAAGCTCATGCAAATTCACTCTAAATAGTCTCATTTCATGTGCTGATGACTCAAAGGCATGTGCAGGCGTGCTGTTCACAGTGGTTCACCCAACTTCTGAGGGTGGTTTCAACACTTGAATAATGACTTTGACATCCAAGTTTCACTTCTTTTGCATTAATAAGCATCAGGTGTTATATTTTCTTGAGGTTTGTTAGAAACGTTTTGGGTTGTGCACACTTTCTCATGTAACTGCCATCACTTATGATAATTATTATTTCAAGTTTTAAAGGCCCCTTATAAAAAATGTTCACCAGCTGTTTAATGGAGGTGTTGGATCTGCTGTTGAACATCAAGTTTATACGCGGAGCCACACACTCAGCCAACAAAGCACATTCCTTTAATTAATAGCACAGTGGCTACATGCAGAGAGCAAACCACAGGCTCTGCCCCTGTGGGGGCCAGTTGTTCCTCAAGAGCCAAGGTTACGTTAAAACATGCTGTCACTTTTTTCAAAAATATCTGTGGCAGCACTTAGTATGCGAGATGCAACGCTGTTTGGGGAAGGTGCCAACAGTAGTGACAGCATGTGAAAGACTGAAGTGGAAATAATTTAGTATTTTTGCAATGCCAGAAATGCATTCTCAAACAAATTCTTTGAGGTTTTCTCTATTGTTATACTGTAAAGGCTCGTAAAGTGGAGTTCTCCATATTGCAGAAATGTGTTATGGTTTTAAAGGATAGTTAAAATATTCAGGGGGGGGGGTAATTAGCAATGTGTAGAGCCATGGGTTCATTCTGTTTTTGTACCCAGGTTCAGATTACAGTGGTTGAATGTGAAGTGCTATTTTGCCCTTTTTATTTTTGCCTGCCTTATAGCCTCGGTTCAGCCCAGCATGTGCAGGGGCTCCCCAGGGGTCCGTGTTTGTACCTCTAACCTTGTTGTTTTGTGTGGTTCTGTTTCAGTGGGAGGTCACCCAGAAGTCCCTGAATGGCTCTCAGTTCTATACGTATTCCGTCTGCAATGTTGGGGAACGTGAGCAGGACAACTGGCTGCGCACCACCTTCATTCAGCGGCGTCCATCAGCTTCCCGGGTTTTTGTTGAACTGCAGTTCATTGTGCGAGATTGCAACTCTTTTGATGCCACCTCGCTGACCTGCAAGGAAACCTTCAACCTCTACACATCTGAATCAGACGCAGACGTGGGCACTACTTTCCGCAAGGGCCAGTTTAGGAAAGTGGCCACCATAGCGCCTGATGAGATCACCAGCAAAAATGACCTGCGCATCAACACTGAGACGCGAGTGGTGGAGAACCTGTCTCGAAAAGGCTTCTACTTGGCTTTTCAAGACATCGGAGCCTGCGTTGCTCTCCTCTCCACCAGGGTCTACTACAAGACATGCCCAGCCACAGTGCAGAGCCTTGCATCGTTCCCTGAGACTGTGGCCGGAGGTGGTGAGAACCAGGCACTGAGGGAAGTGAACGGGGAGTGCGTGGAAAACGCCGTCAGCGAGGAGCTGCCTCGCATCTACTGCACTGTGGATGGGGAGTGGGTGGTACCTGTTGGACAGTGCCAGTGCAAACCAGGTTATGAAGAAGTCAACGATTCGTGTCAAGGTAAGGGCGTGCTAATGAACCTTTGGTATTCAGAAAGGTCTTTCTGCCCCCAGGTACTTCACCCTGTCTGGGTGTACACCTAAATGCAGTTCCCACGAATTGTCTTTTTTAAAACGACCACTCAGCATTAGTCACCATTTACTTTTTATTTTAATTGCCGTAGGTTGTAAAACAAGCCCGTATGGCAGACTGCGGATATTTATCATAGGTGTTATTATCATTGTTCAATGGAATTCTCCCCCTGGCTAACGTTGCTCCTCTGCAATGGAAGGAATGCTCAGGCCTACTGGTACATGTCCCAGCATCATCCCTGACCTTGAGCCGATACAGATAAAATTTGGAAATGTGCTTTTGAGTTTCAGCTGAGAGGTGCAGTTCTATGGAAATGTTTCTACGAACTTGGATCATTTGCTTGTGCTATAAAATGATTCACCCCGTGTGTCATCAAGGCTCAAATTGGGCAGTGAGATAGGTTTTTAATCTGAAGGTGCTAGAAGCTCTTATTCAGGTTGTACTGCCTCATGTCTATCTATCTATCTATCTATCTATCTATCTATATCATCTCTCTCTATCTATCTATCTATCTTCAAATCTATCCAACTTCAAATCTATGTTTTATTTTGATCTTTGAAACCACATGTCTAAAAGGTTGTTTAATGAATGTTCAAGTCATGCTCAAACGCTTCACCTTTCTCATAGTTCATAACTTACAGCTTGTTGGATCAGGTGATTTCCTGCCCTCTCATTATCATCTGTTCTCTTATCTTGACATGGGTGTGCTACATGGTCCAGCCATAACTCCGTCCTTTGACTCTGTAGCTATGGTGCTGTTGTGGTTTTAGTCCCGCAAAGAAGGATTTTATTGTTGTGGGACGGGCTGTCAGAGTGACAGAGGGTGATCAAAGAAGCCGGAAGGCTACTGTACTGTGATGGATTAGCATCTTCAAGGCCGGTGGCTGGGGGGGGGGCAGGAAGGCGGAGGCAGGAGGAAGCTTCTGAGCCTTGCTGACTTTGTTCATGTCAAGCATCACAGAAAACAGGGGCCCTCCTAGTCTTCACATCCATCTCCCCCCTTTTCCCCCTCTGTTTTCATGAATTTACTGAGCCTCAGCTTTGGGGTATATTGTGTGACTGTATGTGAACATACAACACAGGCTGGCATGCAAGGGCCTGTTGAGATCTGTTCCATGACAGAGCACCTAAATACTCCCAGCAGTACTCCACCTCCTCCACTTCTGGAGCTCTCATTTGTACATACACACATACATAACTAGAAACACACACACACACACACACACACACACACACACAGGTATGAATACCCTTAATTACACTCTGGAACACACACCTTGGACTGAAGTTGTAAATCTACATGAGGCCTGTTTACAATAGATTTGCTTTCCCACTTAGTTTTCCTCCCATTGGCATCAGACTGATAAAAGCGTTGAAGTTTTCTGTCAGTACATCATTTTGAGCTGCGGGAAAGTGCCAGGTAAGATGATTAGGGAGGAGGCGTAGGAGGAGAGGCAGGAAGGAGTGAAGGAAAAGTCATACAAAAGCGACAGAGAGGTTGTGTTTAGCGGAGGGGTGTGATTTTAAAACAGAGAGAGGTGAGGAATGGAATGCAAAGGTAGGAGAACAATGAAGCGCTGTGTTTCCCCCCATGAGGCCGGAGGAGCCCACCTCCACCTCCGCCTCCTCTCCCCCTTGGTTGGTACATTCCTGATCAGTTTGCTGAGGAGGAGCCTCCCAACATTACTCCAGACCTGTGGAATTCCCAGGGGGAGGAAGAGCAGCTCCAGGTCAAGCCCTCACATAAAAATGACTAAACAAAGAAAACCCCACAAAAAAAACTACCGAGATGAAGTCAAATGAGAGGTCGGAGAAGCATGAGGGCAGTTGTGGATGAAGGTGGAAATGAATCACAGGGTTCCAGTGCGGGGCCAAGATGAATGGTTCGAAGGGCTTAAGTGGAATCTCATACAGACACGCAGTTAATCATTCTCCCCACTTCTTTCCTGTATTGCGTGCTGTTCGGGGAGAAACCACAAAACTTCAATTGTGGTGTTTTTTCTTACTTTGGTTTGAAAGTTTCCATGTTCAGTGATGTGTTCCCCCCGTTTTATGACTCCTCGGCCCCGTAGGACCTGTTAAAGTAGCAATCTGTGACTTTATCTGGTTTGTGTCTCTGTCTCCTCGTCAGCGCTCACTGCTGTGGTGTTTTTGGCTCAGAGATCACTCGTCCGTCAAACTGTGTTTCTAGGATCTTTTTTCTTTTAAACTCCCTTTGAGGTTTCTGTAGGTGGTGTGTGGCACTCCTCTCTCAGTGGCCGTCATTGCTCATGTTAAATACAGAGTCCATCTTTTGGACAAACAAACTCTAAAGATAAAACTCATCACTTCCTGTGCTGCACAAACCTACCACAGTCTTTAGAGCAGCAAATGTAAAAGCTTTTATGAACTGGTTATAAATCATATCAGCCAGCAGCAACGAGGCACAAAACGGGCTTGTGTTTTTTATGAACGCATTACAGACTTCTATAAAAGAGAATTATTTTGGCTCTCAAAATACATGAGCATCAATTATAAATGAATCAGAAATAGAGTAAGCACAGTGAAAGCTGTTCCCAGGATTTATGTTCAGTCCACACAATACCGATGAAGGCCTGATGAAGACGTCTCTGTGTTTTCTTTTAAATCAATGACTGTCTTGTTTAAGTTCTATTTTTGTTTATTTGCTTTTCTTCTTCTGCACCCTCTCTTACTGTTGTACCAAGTGTGCAGCACTAAAACGTATTATCACTCTTATTTTTAAATATTCTAATGAAACGCAGCAATGATTTAAAGAAACTCTCTGGTTAAAGAAGCACTCAAATCTTTTACCTAACAAAAAAAAAAATCATTACCAGTAAAAGTACCACATTCAAAATGTTACTTTAGTGTGAAGTACAGAAGTGTTATAAATATTTACACTTAAAGTAATGAAAGAAAAAACACTCATTATATAGAAAAACTCTAATGGGAGCATTATAATTGTAAATTTATTCAGAAATTACTGGATTATTATTATTGAAGAATTGAAATTTAAACTACATTTTAATGTTGTAGCTGGTTGATTACGCAATTTTGTATAACTGATAATTATTTGAATGATGGATTAATCTGCCTGTTATTATCTCGATTAATCAATGAACCATTTTGTCAATAAAATGTCATAAGAAACATGTCCTGTGTAATTTCCCAGAAGCCAAGATGGCATCTTCAAATGCCATGTTTTATTCTACCAGCAACCCAAAAGTCCACATCAGTCCACATTTAAGAAGCTTACTGGTAATTTATATTCCAATGCAACATAAAAATGCAACATAAAAAAATAGGAATGAATTTGTCTGAAAAACCTTAATCTGAGTAGTAACTATATTATTAAAAATATTAACTGAAATGTACAGTAGGATCACATAGCAGCATAAAATACAAACTACAAGTACCTTAAAACTGTACATAAGCGCAGTGCTTGAGTAAATGTATGAAGCCATTTTCTGTAAAGTTATATTCAGTAAATAACAATAAACTAATATGGTGGGAGCAGCTGGATAATTCATTTCATGTGGCACCTGTTTTAGATCAAGATGCCGTGCCTTTAATTTCCTTAGCGAGAAAATAAACAGTCTTTTTTTAATTCTGGAAAAAAACTTAACTTTTTCCCAATTAAGTGGTTGGCTTTTAAATGGACAGCAGCGCTGTGGGTTTCCACTTGTGACTCACTGTTGACACTGACACAGTTTTCCTCCGTTGCCTATCACGCCCTTCCTTACCCATAATCCTCCCTGGCACAATAGAACTGCATACCGTGTGTCACCCCACAAAGGACCACGGGCTGCCCTGGCTGGTCCTCAGGATTGTGTTTAACCGTCCAGATCCACACCTCATCAGCCACACTAAAGCCTCAGCTAATAAGGCTTAATCCTGCATCAGGGTTTCCATAAGGCTGTATATAAAAAGGGAGACACGGTGTGACATATTTGGACTGCTGAGAGCAGTTTTGGTGTCTTGGTGAAAAATGGCGTCTCGGCGGAACAACTGTCCACTGAGTTCCAGTAAAGTTATTATTCCTCTTGCCAGAAAGGTTCCAGTAAACCATTTACTCTCTTCCCCTCCTTTCCTCTCCGTCCGTGTCTCCAAACTCATCCTCAGCTGATGTAACAAACAGTTGGTGAGTAAGTTGTAGTTGTGTGACTGTGCGCTGTGGTGAGTGATTTGTATGGGTAGTAATTGACTTGGGTGTGTTTGTGCTTTTTAAGTGAAGTAACTACTGGTTCTGCGTGCTTTTTTGCCTTTGTGCAATCTCCTTTGCCGTCCTCTACCTCTCTCCCCACATCCTGCCTGTCCCTGAAGAGCCTTTCTATTTTAGCCTCAATTTTCCGCCTCTCGTCTTCTATTTATTTGATACTTTCTTATCTCAACACACAATTCCTGTCACAATTTTACAGCCATTAATGCAATTTACTCAGACGGACACTGTTGCTCGAGCTGTCCCAAGTAAAACAAACTGACAAACAAAAAGTTTTACATTCGTGTGTTGTGTTCTTGTTGTCCGTGAAATCACAGAGAGACTGTTGTTTTTGGCTGCTGTGCAGGTCATGAATATGACACCAATAGATTTTAAACATCCCATTTCACACGGCCTTGATGGAACTATTTAGACTGTGTACGGCTCTCTGCTTTCTCACTGGTAAATACATTTCTCCACGACTGACTCGTAAAGATAAATAGAGGCTAAATTTGAACAATGCTGCCAATCGGAGAGTTTTTAGTGGAGAGGGAACAAAAACAACTGGGCCTCTCCACATAGTGGTTAAGGCATAAACATTTAGTAGAGGTGAAATGTAAACTTTAGCTGTCAGCTTTTTTTGTTGATGAACTTTATGATGGAGTTTAAGATTTGGACTGATTGTTCACTTGGAAATACATCCTACAGAAAGCTAGATCAAGTGTTTCAT